ATTCGGCCTAATCTACCTTTTGCTTTAGGTCGAAAATCCGCCTTGCCTTCTTCCGTACTGAGCTTGTCGCGCTCAATCTTACCGCTCACGATATCCGTAAGCTGCTTCTCCCCGAAAACCCACCTCCATGTCCCCACTTGTATGTGTACCAGTCCTTGCCATCCTCGTTCTTGGGAACACCGTCGTTGTCGTACTTGAGCCGCTCGCCATCTTGAGCAGTTTCCCGAAGCTCACTTGGAAGTTCCGCAGTTTGGGCTCAGAACCCTCTTGTGAAGTGCACTCGCTGCCAAGATGACGTGCTCACAACGACTGAAATGTACGAATGAATAGATTTCTCCCTAAGCGGCTGAGCGAGAGCTCCTACTAGTCCCAGATTCCTGTTGGAGTATCCTGCAAAGTCTTCTTGTCCCGTGCCGCCTCTAATACTCCGATCTGTGTCGAACGCCGGCGTTGCTTCTCCTGCCATGGCGCCAACCTGATCTTCAACATTTTTTTTACGTAAACGGCGTTGTTCATGGCCTCTGGCCACACACTGCGTGGAAATCCTGCTTGGATCATCATCGACTTAGTCATGCCGACCAACAACTGATGCATGCGCTCGCACAGGTTCAGTTGAGAACACTTTGGATCAACTTTGACGTGTTAGATGCCTCGCGCAGCGTACCATCCGTCAATTTCCGCGTTACGAACTCCCCGCCCTTGTCTGTCAATACTTGGCACACCTTAAAGGTTTCCCGCTCATTACTAGTGCGAGTTTGTCCTGCCTGTCTCTCTGCCCAGAGAATGTATTGCTTCAAGTGCTCGTTCACTACCTCGCTTGACTTGCTTGTTAGCATGCGAACAGTCACACAAACGAGAATAGCCATCCAAAATCACCAGCATTGCCTTGTACCGAGTTCCGTTTTCCTTGCTTGGGATCAACAGATCTGCAAACACCACTTGATTAGGCTTCTCGAGCCCCCTGTCAAGTTTCTTCCGGTATGACTTTCTCTTCTGCTTTGCAAGGTGACACGCATCGCAATTTTCCTTTTGCCGTTGCGTTAGCATCATCCCTCACACTAGCGCTTTGTCCACCATGCTCTTCAGGTACTGTGGACACGTATCCACTAAACGTTTGTGCCACATTTCCAGCGATGCAATACCAGCAACAGCAGTCAGGTTTGCAATGTCCTTGTGATGTGGTCTTCCTTCATTTGAGTGTGAGGCGTAAAATCCTCATGTCGCCTCCACTGATGTTACAACAGCCACTGAGAACATGAACGACCACAGCGTCATCGTGAAGAGTGTGGATCTAACATGAGGCTAAATCGGATGGTCTGATTGG